AAAAAAATTAAAAAAAAAGGAGCTTTCATCTCTGAATTTATGTAAATATTTTAAAACATGTTAGGTTAGGTTAAGTTTTTATTCAATGATTTATAGAAAAAAAACAACCAGAACTAAAATAATTTWAAAAAAAAACTAGAAAATTAAATAGAATATTTAAATCCTATTTTAATTGGTGAACTTTTAGGATCAGTTTAAGTTATAAAATATTTATTTTTAGAACTTAAACTATTTTATTTTTGTCATACAAAATATATATAATGATTTCTTAGACTTTTTTTTAAATAAAATTTTTAAATTTTTAATAAATAATTATTTTGATTATCACTATTCTTTTATTGTTAATCATTTAATGGATGGATCGCTTTATTTTTAATATATGAATTATACTGTACAAAAAATATATATATGAATTAATATAGGTTGGTTGAAGTGAGAGGAGAGATGGATATTTTTTAAAAAATGAAAATCACAAACTTAAAAAAAATGCTTTCATTGAGAGTCGAACTCAAGACCTCCCGCTTACTAAACGGGTGCTCTAACCAACTGAGCTATGAAAGCTGTTGGCCTTGTTAAAGAGTATAATATATATTAATTCAAATCATTAACGAAACCTTTTTTTTTTTTAAGAGACGCTTTCAAGAGATATTACGTTCTTTAAAAAAAAAAAAGTAAATAGTCTATTAAAAAATACAATTTAATACTTCACATTTGGAAGAGACGTCTCTTTTCTGCAATAAAGGCTAATAAACCAATTCTGGAAATGCTATATTAAAAATAATGCTTATAATTTTAAGAAATAATATTTCATTATTGCCAACCTTATAGATCTTAGGATATGACAAACAAAACTCTTAACCTTAGTTTTCTTGTTGAATTTAATGTCACATTGCACACAATAACTGATATATCAAAGTCTAAATTTAATTTTAAAAAAAAATATATTTGACAAAAACAACATAAAGTTGAAGAATTAAAACTATGTTTGAACATCACTTAGGACTAAAACTCGTCTAAATAGTCTCATATTTTCTTCATTTAATACTATATCACTGCAAGCAAGATTACACTTTTCTTTAATATTCATGGTATCAAGCTCGACCCTACTACTCATCAAAAAAACACCACGTGATCCAACACTGACTTCAAAAGACATGAAAAAAATTTATTTCATAAACTTCCCATCTAGAGGCTCGAACCCGAGATTTGGAGAACATCTTCCAAACATGACATTCTAAGGACCTTTGGTTTATGCATGCATTTCCAATATGATATAAGAGAACCACAGATGATATGGACAACTAAAGAAACTACAAGAATTGTGGCAGAGGTCCTTCAACAAGTTCAAACTTGGGCCATGATCATTAGAGAGACGAGCAAAATCACTCTCCTTTGCTCTCTTCTTGTTCCACATCGTATTCTTCATCATTATCATCATCATCGTCTTCTTCATCAGTGTCATCATCACCCATTATACCAATTCGAGGAAATTTGCTGAGTTCACCCTTCACATCGTCTTCGCTAAGGAATTCCAACCCATATTTTGTGTCACGATGTTTCACCAAAAGCCATCGCAACATACGATCTTCCTTGTTCAAGTAATGTAACTCCTTGTTCATGTTGGGAGTAGCCATCATTGTCATCTGCATAAGTTGGCCCTTTACCATATAGAAAAAAGTAACAATGTCATTAGTTAATTCAGGATCTATCATATAAACCGTAACAGAGTCGGAAAAATTCACAGTTCACGGTGCATCTGACAAACACATGATGCACAGAAGAGATCTGGTAGGGACTTTGAATTTCGATAGTTTCAATTTCAATTAATGAAGGTTCAATATTCATCAATGTCATAGTACAATATACAAAGATCACATGGTTATGCCTCCCTTATTTGCAAGGGCCACGTCAGCCAAATCAAGCACAGCAGTCAACATTGAGGGGATGGATTAAATTTTTTTTGATAAGAAAGGATGGATTAAAATTTTTTTGATAAGAAAGGATGGATTAAAATTTAAATCATAAGCATATTTTTCAACCAATCCGAAATAATATCATAACATAACTACAACCTACTAAGGGAGATCAATTAACCTTGTCGTCCAAGCAGTCTTCTCAAGCACTCAACCCTCTCTAGTCTCTCCTATCGTTAAGGTACCGTCATATGGCTAGATGCTTGGAGAGAAACAAAAATCAGAAGCTTCATTTGCTGATGGGAACGATAGGCCAGCCATACAATTCCCCTACACGAGGAAGAAAGAAGGCAAGAAGAGAGATTGAAGGACAGTTTTGTGTGGGTGCATCTAGAGGATGTGGGTGGGAGAGTCCTTATTTTATATGATTATTTTGTTGGTCGTGTAGAAGGCCTTAGAGTGTGCTCTCTAAGGAGAGTTCCTCGGCCTATCAAAGAGCTGAGGTGAACGTGTGTGCTGTGTGGGTTTCTTACATTACGACAATAACAGTTTCTTATATTTTGAGAACCCATAGACCATGTGGCTGTTCTTCGAGCGTCTAAATTCTATAACTTGAAACACTAATAGGAGTTTACTGACAATGACCCACGAGGGGCAGCTCAGTTGGCAAATGCTTGGGGTCTCTTGATCATACTGGCTTAGAGGTCTCAAGTTTAAACCTTCTGATGAGGTTAATTCCAAAAACCCTTGACGTCTCTCGAGTCCAGACCTTGGAGCGAGCGCGGGTACCCTGGGTATAGGGGAGCAAAGCTCCAACTCCCAGATATCAAAAAAAAAAATAATAATAATAATAGGAGTTTACTGAAGGCCATATGGAAAACTTAGTAGTAAGAAGTACCCTAAGAAAATTAAGTTCTTATGCTTGTTCAAACTAAGTAGTAGCCCTGCTTCTCCCATATATAATTGAAAGCAGATCTATTTGGTTCCCCATCTATATTTATATTAGGAGTATAGATAATGATGCTTCCTTGAATTATGGACAGTCCATCACCTACTACTTCAATGGAGAAATATTTTTATAAAGAAATTGAGCTTTCATTAAGAAAAATGAAAGAATACAAAAGGACTTACAATAACAATAGCTCAAAGAAGATTAGTTAAGATTCCAAAGAAGATTAGGTTTTTTGCTTGACAGGTCTTACATGGCAAGGTTAATACTTTTGCCCGCACTTTGAGGCACTCTTTTGCTTTGATCTCCTTTGGTTCTGCCAGTTTGCTCCATCTGTCTACAATTGTTTGCTTTAGGCTTTTGGAGTTCACCTTGCTCACACTACATAGTGTAGTTCGATGTTGGAGGAGGTTCTTCATCAGTCATCACCCTCCATTTAGAGACAGGGGTCAGAACATGTGGCAGACAGGCTTCTTAACTGTTCTATGGGGCTTGTGGATTGAAAGAAATAACAGGATTCTTAGAGGAGTTGGGAGATCTTGGGAAGACATTAGGACTCTTGCTTGGTTTCATGTTTCTCTTTAGGCTCGGTGTCCAAAGCCTTTTGTAATTACTCTCTCATTAGGTTTGATCTTGCAAGATTGAAACTTGTTCTTTTGGTGTGGCTACTTTTGTTTAACAGTTCTTTTTTTGTATTATTTCGTTCTTCTCACTGAAAGTACAATTTTTCAAAAGTAAAAAATAAAAAAACAATAGCCCAAGAAGAGGAAGCCAAACAACTACAGACCTAACCTAGCAAGACAAAAAAGAGCTCCATTCCAAAGGATAAAATCTGGAGGTTATATAGATAAATGGAGAAATATGTGCAGTAACTAATAACTAATTCCCAAAATAGAATGGAGAAACAGACCTACTTAAGAATTCAAAGGATACAGTGGTACAACCTATAGAAATAAGAAAATCGCAAAATGTACATCAGAATACTTTAAGAATGTCAAGAGCCATAGTACTAGGGTTAAAATCAACTTCAAAAGTTACAGAAAATAAAATGTTCGCTTAGGAATCCATTGCACATGAAGAACTTTTTTTTTTCCTTTTTATTTTTTGAGGTGTGCAGTCCATTCAAACCCCCAGTAGAGAATTGAAACATCCATTTCCCAAAACCATATATCAGAATGCACAAATACATTGACATTCATTTCAACACCAAAATCTATAATCTTGACAATGGGCAAGTAGAATGGTAAATGCATCCTCAATTCAATGATTTGCAGTCCTTAATAAGAAACAGCAAATATATAGACATTGAATGCCACTTTTTTCACCTTTGAAGCAATAGAAGCATACAAAAACAAGCTAATAAAACGCATCAACTACTAAATTAACATAATGTTAACGAGATTTACAGATTGAACCCAGCTACAAAAACAACAAAGGAAGATTATAAAAGCTTTAACAGGGAAAGAAATAAGAGATTTCAAAGTTCACCTGATAAAATCTTCCATCAAGTTTCTTAATTCCATAACCCAGTTGAACAACTCCAAATGACTTAATGTCAGTGACGACCCCATTTCTTCTGAACACATGCTTGCCCACTCTAGCAACCAAGTCCAACAAGGCCTCCTTCTTCACATGGGGTTTCATCAAAAGCATACAATCGTAAAGAGGCATCTTAATCTCCTCTTCTTTAGCACCCAAGTTCCTCTTTAAAGCTGTTGCAAATTCTAACCGAGTGCCGTGAGAAATGAAATGGCGGCCGGCGCCGGCCCCGCTGGGTGTTTTAACGGAGGGAGAGGAGGATTTCGTCAGATGGAGAGAGAAGACAAGGGCAAAAGAAATTTGAGAATTTTTTTGGTATAGAAAAATGGGCTGGGCCGGAGAGCTGGGCTTCTAGGGCTCAATTTTGGGGCCTTTTTTTAAGGTTTAAGATTGATCTTTTCAACTATAACCCACATCCTGAAACACTGTTGCAGAATTCATTTTATACAATCGAAACCCAAATCTTTCGCAGAAAGAGATTTTCCCTCGTAGCAATCGCTTACATTTCGTGAGAGGAGGGCTTCTTCAAGGTAATCTTATTGCTGAGTCTGTATTACTTTTGATAGTTGGGGCTATAGGAGGGGAAAAATGAATGCAAATTTGTTGGTTTTCTTGCCTCTTTCATATGAACTCACGGAAATGATTTGTTTAATTTTGCACCCAATTCCACTCTCCCCCCTTTTGGGTATCTGCAATTCTTGATTGTGCCTTATTCCTTCTGTCCCATAACTCCCACAGCGGTATTCTGGCATTCAGTAGGAATTTCCACCAATTTGTGTGCTTGTCGTTCTCTTTTGATAAGGAGCAATCAAACTCAGGATTAGCTAGATGAGATATAACCACTTGGGACTGTGTATCTTCCATTGAAATTTGAGTTGTTTGCTGAGGTTATGAAATCTTTTGCTGCCATTTTTGTGTAAAAATTTTGTTCTTTACCTGTCTTTTGTAATGCCGCTTTTACTTCTTTTCTACTGCAGGAAGAGTTGGTGTGTGTAGTTTTTTATGAGGCAGAGCCTACAATTAGTTTGGAGAATTTTAATGTTCTTTAGTGAATATTAGTTTTACATATCTCAATCAATGTCTCTTAGAAGGCCACAACTTCCTCGCCTTCTCCTCAACCAGGTCTCCTGTATGCGGAATGCCCAGCAAATCCTTCGAAATGTTAACGTCTCGATCCACGATGGTGGTGCACTCGTGCTGACTGGCACCAACGGTTCGGGCAAAACGACATTCCTACGTATGTTAGCTGGATTCTCCAGGCCTTCTGCAGGCGAGATCCTCTGGAATGGCCATGACATTACAGAATCAGGAGTGTTCCACCAGTACAAGCTGCAGCTAAACTGGCTCTCGCTGAAAGATGCCATCAAAGAGAACTTTACCGTGCTCGACAACGTTCAGTGGTTCGAGGTTCTCGAGGGGAAGCAAGGGGGGTCAATGCCTGCTATCGAGCTGATGGGGCTTGGAAAGTTGGCGAAAGAGAAAGCGAGAATGCTGTCGATGGGGCAGCGGAAACGACTGCAGCTTGCAAGGTTGTTGGCGATCGATAGACCGATTTGGCTGCTTGATGAGCCTTCAGTTGCATTAGATGATGATGGGGTGAAGTTGCTGGAATATATCGTTGCAGAACATAGAAAGAAAGGTGGGATTGTTATTGTAGCAACTCATATACCAATAGAGATTGAAGACGCCATGATCTTGAGGCTCCCGCCACGATTCCCTCGGAGAATGACATTGGTCGATATGCTTGATCGAAGTGATATATCGTAGCTACTAACTTCTTAAGACGGTTACAGGCATGACTCATTTGATCAAGTCATTCCTAACCTTATTCAGGAGTGGCAAGTTTGACTCTTCACTCGAGTTTTGTCTTGTAATACTTACAAAAGAAATGAAAAGGAAATGAGAGATAAATTTAAGACAATTTTCTTTTGTTAGATAAGAGTTTGTCATATTTATCCTTTCACACATGTCAATTATTTCTCCGTCAGAATCGTCTGACGCTTCAACTAGCTCATTCCTTTCACAATGTGGGTTCGAAGTATTACCTGCAATGACTACGATCGATTCATCTCGACGTCTCTTCCGTCATATAGACAGTGGAAGAACAACGGAAATTAGGGTAGTCTTGGTCCAACAAAATGAAATTACTTCCACTCCTTTCACTCTGCACCTCCTATTTTTCCGCTAGAGATTCCAGCTTCCAAAGGGGCAAATCATAGTGACCACCTAAATATAGGATAAGCTTTCTTGACCATGATGGAGTTAGGGTATTATTTAAAAAAGAATAATACTTGAATGTCACGTTATATTCTAGAAAAATAGTAATCTAAGAAAATTGATGGGAGGATAGAGTGAATGCATTTTGGACCCAACTTTTGGTTTGCGACGTATTTTTTTGCGAAATTGAAATCCAGCAAGATGCAATTAATACAAATCGACAACAAAAATGATAAAAATACTCGAATAAATGACAAGAAATGGGTAAAAATTACTTATTAATTAGAGAGAGGAGATTAAGAAAACCCAACAAAAATGTGAAACCTTACCTATGAAAATTTGAGAGAGATGAGGTTACAAAAGAAGGATAAAGATGTCTTCAAGTGGGAAAATACAAGAGGCTATAAACTAAAAAGTTCAAGTCTTTGAACTCAAAAAATGGTCCTATTTTTGCTCATTAGCCTTTCATTTGTTTCCTTCTTCGCCATTAAGCTTCACTAAGCAGAGATCACCAGATTACAAAATGGCGAACATGGGTGGTGGGGCTTGTTCCTCAGTCATGTTCCATGATTCCTTAGAAAGATTTTTAATTATATCAATATCCAATCCTGCAACTTCGTTGTTTATTCACCATTTCCATTTCCCCCCATCGTAATAGAAAGAAACCCAAGTTTTCCCCCAGATTTCCGAAACAAACGAGCGGGAGAATTAGATTTCTCGAGTCAAAATGGCAGATTCATCGATTCTTCCCACTCTCGTTGCCCAGCTCTGTCTCTGTGCTTTTTTCTACTTCGCTCTTAACATGGGGCACCCTAAAAATTACGATTTCTTGAAGATTGGGGACGGAAATCCTCTTGATTTCTACTTTATTTCTGTCTGGGGAGGCTTACGTTCTGAAAAAGAAGAGACCCTTCTTCTCAAACAGGTGAAACTTTAGTATATTCTAATTGGGAAGATTTTGTTTGTTGTTGATACTTTTGCCTTCAATCGCTAACGGCGATTTTTACTATTGCTATGGATAAAAAATGAACTAGAATCATGTTTCTCAACGTTTATTCTTTCCTGTAATGTAAGATTTTAATAATTTGTCGTTGATTTTAGCCATGGAAATCATTTCCCTGTTGGGATTCTTGATTCTTTTTGAAAGATCTGCTGGTGAAGTGAAACTACTGTTTAACTCTTAATCTTTGTCATTGATCTGTATGCATCAGATTCATTATGAAGAGAGGATTTAGCTTTGGATGAGATATGACAATGTTTCAAAAAATTCATTAAATGTATTGTTGGGCTGAAATTGTGATCAAATACAACGAGATAAGAAAAAAAAAACAGAGATCAAAACGGTCATTTTTTAAAAGTTAGTATATCCATCTTCAGAGTATTATATGAGTGTGGATTTTACTTCTCAATTGTTTTGTGCTTCCTTTGTTAATATTAGTGCCAAGTTCTAAGAATGTTTCTTGTGAACAATCAAGATGGAGAAGATGGCGAAGGCTTCTCACGCAAAGTTTGTCTTGCACATCCGTGAACCGGGCGAAAATGATCGCTTGATGAAGAACGTAAGTACATCTTCTTCATAAAAACCAGAAGATTGAAACTGCTGTGATTGAGAAAAATGTTCATTGGAAGACTGCTTATGAAATAGATTCTCCCGTGATACATTACATATGATATGTTTTTGGACCATTCAATCTATCAATGTATTAGGCTTCGTTTTTTTTGTGTTCTAGCTGTTAGTCTGTTACTGACAATTATCTTTTTCTCTAAACGACAGGGTACGCGGTATTTCTCATCGCTGAAAGTTCCCTGGTATTGATCCTTCTCAAACCAGTTCTCTGAATTCGGTAAACTTGTAAATTGTAATCTTTTGTGCATCAGTGTTATTTGCATATTCATATCTTTGGGTCACTCTCCTTTACGTGTAATTATGAATGTAGGCATGGTATACAGACGTCAAGAGGAAACGATAGGGGTTACTTCATCGAGCGGATGAAGTTACAATATGGGCAAACATTAGACATCGTTGCCATAGATACAGGACTATTACAGGTTTCAAATCGCTTGAACTTGCTTTCATCAACTTTTTAGTTGTATGTTTGCTGCTCTTAATTCGTCCGCGCTCTCTAACTCATTATTGATGAACTTCTAGGAGTCTTTGGCTATGGGATCGGCAAGTGACATGGTGAACAATCGGTTACATTGGCTAAAAAGAACTCTTCAAACATCAAACAGTAACTGGTAAAACTTCTTTAACAATTATCGTTGATTATAGTTAAGATTTATTGAACCCGTTATAACATTTCATACATCATGGAAGATGTTCTCAATCATTGTGGTGTTCCAGCCACTTCAATCTCATCGATGTCAGGATCTGGAGATGGATTCATGGATGTTTCTTGCCATCCCGCTGCCCGAATTTTTTGTGCTGCAAACTTATTTGTGTTCTAACTACTCTTTTTCCCCCAAAATGAAGGCGTATAGTTGTTGGGTTTCACCCATTGGTTACTTGTGAAGACAATACTCGGTTGGTGGAGACAAAGCATCTTTTCGAGTCGATCCATCAAATCTTTGTCGAACACAGAGTGGTAAATTAGTCGAGCCATCCTTGACACTTTTCATTTCCAAGGGTTTACGATCTCCCTAACATAGAAGAACTAACTCCATAACCTAACCTATGCATTTTTCTTGGCTCTCCAGAATGCATACCTGAGTAGGCGTGGTTGCGCTCACAATATTCGTATCGGTAGCACAGCGTACATTGGGTTTCCGGGTCCTATTCAGACAAATTACTTCACATCTCAAAGATCCACCTTGAGAGAGTAAGTCTCCTCAACCTTCAGTTTGGATTGGATGATGCTAGTTAGGCAATCTATCTAGGCCTCAGGTTGTTCGGTTATCCCGAAACTCACCCACCCTCACAGCTATATATCGTGTGCATTTTGCTCATTCTCATATCACTAACCCTGTCTTTCTCGGCCACAGGTTTCTACTCCATCGCGTCAGCTTGCTAGAGACGGTGGGTACTGAGAGATGACATGTTGTATTGTAGACTTTTCGGGATGTTTCGATGAAATACTGTTCGATTTTTCTCGTACATGTCATGTGAATATGACATTTATTAGGTTATATACAGAGATGACGATATAGACATTGTGAATGGAACTTATAGGAATGATTTGAAAGCTCTAATGTTCTAAATCTTTTTCATGGCAGGTGTTCTACTATGTGAACACAGCAGGAGAAGTTGTTCATAGAACTGAACTCCAACAAAAGGGTAGAAAGGTCATTTAAAGTTGAGGATTTTTGGGGAATTTTGGCTCTCACTTGTACACGGCTGAGCAATATATGACATTTTGTTTTTCTTGTTATTTTCTGGCATCTGTACTTCTTTTTAGGGGCACAAATTTGAATTCTAAACATATTTTTTAAGAATATTTTAGAAGATGCATCGTGGACTGATATCACAGACAACTATATTAATATCTTAGGTAGGTAGTAATCATGGTTCGAATTTATTTATTTTAAATTATTTAGTATTTACCTTGGTCCATTTGGATCGTTAGGTCCATCTATGATTATAAAAATTTATTTGTTAAGTAGTATCAATTTTCACCATAAATTTTTAATTTCATCAAATTAAATTCTAAATTAAATAAGTGTGGCAAAATTTAACCTTTGTTCAATTTTTGCTAATTCACGAAGTAATTTGAAAAACAACGTAAACAAATTCATAAAAGTATAAATTTAACGAAAATTAAGTTTTATACAAAAATTAAGTTTGATTAAGGTACAAAATTCACCCGACATTATTTTCTTAGAAAATTGAGTCTTAAATAATTTCTCTTAAACTTAGAATTTTGTGTAGGATCAATTTCATCAATTTTACATTAAAAACATGTTTCATAATTTATTTGACATAGAAGAGATGGCAAAAAATTGGCAGGTTCGATCCTCGCTTATACCCAACCTGATCGGGTTGGGGAATCCCCAGTTTGATCGAGGACGGGGTCAAACCAGGGATCCCAATTGAGATCCCTGTCCCCACCCCGTTTAATATTTTATTACTTTTTCTATTTTTTTATATAATAATATTAATATATATTAATTTAATAAATACTTTTTAATTTTTTTAATAAAAAACTTTAAGCTAATATCTCATTTAGTCCATTTTCGTTCATTTGTATAGTAGTAATAACACAAAATTAAAAATTAAAAATATATATTTATAATGGGACGGAAAACCTCCCTGATCGAGAATCTCCACCCGGGGAAAAAATCTCCAATGGGGCGGGGATGGGGATGACCCTCGACTTGTCCCACCCTGTTGCCATCTAATTTGACATATTATAATATTCCTTTCTAACAGATTTTTAATTGCAATCTAATCATAAGATAAAAATTACTCTTTTCAATGAATTTCTAGGCGATAATTGGGAAAGCATCCCAAATTTAAGGTGTAATTTTGGTTTTTTTTTTTTTTTTAAGTGTAATTTTGATGAAATAGAAAGGTAGTGTTAAAATTGATATACTTGCGAAATTTTATAATCCCTTCTAGGAAAAAAGGGCGGGAAGTGGAAGAAGGAGAGGAGCTTATAAATGGAGGAACAAGACGTGTCTGAAAATTAGGGTTTCGGGCCTCACACTCCGCCATGAATGAGGCTCCGTGGTTTCAGAGCGACCGGAGGAGTTCCTTCTTTTCCTCGCTCTGTCACTTAACGATCCGCCGTGGATCGCCGGCAGCCGGTGATTTCCCCTCCGAACCCTCGCCCTCTCTTTCTCTCTCTCTCTCTCTTTCACTGTGTGTGTATGTGTGTGTGTGTATATATATATATAATAAATCTCTCTCTCTCTCTCTCTCTCTCTCTAAAAGTGGCTATGATGATGATGATTTCGGACTTTGGAGTGTGAGGAAGTTAGGGCAATGGTGAAGGAGCTTCGATCCATCGGCACGGCGACTCGGCTGGTTTGTGAGACTGACTCAGTTGTAGTTTTTCAGGCACTTGCTAGGGTTCGCCGCCATGGCCGGCCTCCTCAGCTTTGCCCCATTTCTAGATCTGAGCCGCCCTTTTTCTCTAATCTCTTTCAGGCACCGTATTACGTTATATTTTCTATGTTTTTTCACTCAATGCTCGGTAGCTCTTTATTTTGATTTAGGTAAAACCGATATTCGACTTGTAAAATAATAAATTCGATTACATTTCTTACCCAGGGAAAAGTCCCAGAAACTATTTTATCATGTTGGAAAATTTACAGGTTTACGAGAACATCATTAGGGAGAAATTCAGTAGAGAAACTTGCATCAAACAGGATTGCTGCCATGGATAAACCTTTACTTGCTGCGAACGAAGAGCTTTGCAGAAGAGCATTTGGCTGAACAGCTGAACCAGCAAGATAAAAACCCTCCAGCACCTACGGCTGCTTGTGAAGAACTGACTTCTTTCCTTTGTATGACTCTCACAAACTCATCTGAGCTTAGATCTCCATCCCCATTTGCATCAAATATGTGAAATATGATGTCCACCACATTTCTAGTGATTGAAACTCCACAAACCTTGTACAAAAAGCCACATTATTCTTATGGTTGTTAGGCTGATTTGAGTAGTTGGTTTTAGCTTTTAAGATTCAAAGTTTTGGTACTTACATGGGAAGCTGCTCTCTGGAAATCTTGTTTTGTCAATTCCCCATTTACCTTTCCGTAGCTGAAAATGGCCAAAGAGAAGGATTCTAACTTCTTGCGTAGCTCTGCAAAGTCTTTGAATTCTTCATATGTGATTCTGATGTTTCTGAATTGGGGTTCTTTGTTCAATGCTTCGACTCGATCCAGGAGTTTGTCTATGTGATTTATGTCAGCCGAAGCAACCATGGACAGTGCAAAGTCTTTGGCCGATATGCTTCCTTGGGATTTGAAGTCGTAATGTGAAAACTCTAATCGTAGTATCTGCAATCACCCGATTTGAAGTTTGGTATTGGGATCACAATATTGAAATTTCATCAAAGTTCTGAGTTTACTTTTGTTGTGTCGTTATCATTTAGTTTCAATATGATGTTTTTGTTTTTAGAAATTCCGTCACAAGTTAGATCTCTCCTTGTGTCCTTACTATTACTAAATATTAGTAGTTTTCTTAAATGACGTATCGGTTTTTACAGGGAATGACATACCTCATCATGAAGTTGTCTTAGGAATTGGACAAATTTGTCATGGTGAAGGGAACCTTTTCCATCTTGACCAAAGAAGTACTCTACCAAACCACCATTTTCCACGCAAACTTTCATCCCGAGTCTTCTTCCATCTCTATGACGAGCTCCTTGTCTGTTCTGTTTTCTCATCAAAGCCATCACTTTCTTGAACTCCTCCCTGTCTATTTCACTATTGGACCCACAAACATATACCCCAAACTTCAGCATTTTGTTGGATGTAAAGACAACCATGTGAAAATGACGAATAATAGAGTTATGATTTGACTAACCCATTGTTGTCAATGTCAAACATTTTGAATGCCACTGAAAAGCTGGACTCTGGTATGCTGAGTAGGGTAACAAAAAAGATGTACCTGCAAGTTATTGGCAACAAAATGCTTTGTAAGTTACACTGCAGGAACTCATTATATAGGCTTTTTTTCTTCTTTGGTTTACTATAATGAGTATTGTATGCTTTGTAGGTTTTACAAAATAGTGAACTTAAATGGTGAAAGAATAAGGGATGGATTGCTCAACTCTGCAAAAGAGATGAGGCCATCACTGTTGATGTCGAAGAGCATGAAGAATTCTGAAGGAACACAATATAATTCTCCATGAATTCTTTCTCCTCTTAGAAAGCCCTCTCTAACTCGATTGGACTCTGATGGAGGAAACACCGGAACAATGGCTCTCATCAGATCTGCTGGTGTCATAAAGATTTCTCCTTCAGGTGTGTGAACAGAGGCAAAGTACTCGAACACCTTCTCAGGAGGACTTTGAATTCGTATGCGTTTTTCATAGTTAAAAAACACCCTTCTCCTATAATCATCTGGGATGAAGCACAAATGTTACACATTAGCTTAAGCTTTGAGAAATGGGATTTTGGGAAAACATTGAAAGTTTGATGTTAGTTGATGAACATTCTTACCTCCAAAGAGAAACTTTGATTTCTTCCTCGCATTCTGATTAGGGAATGGGTATTGGAATTGGTCTTCTTTCATTGTCCATTTCGTTTCTTTTTGGAAGTCGGCAAAAGATACATTTGAATTGGAAGTTGAAGAATTCAAGCATAAAAGCGATCCGATCCCAACTGCCACAACTCCCGAAGAAACTGATTTGACCAAGAAATCAAATATGGAGCTTCTTTTCGACTCTTCACCCGAGCCAGTGTTGTGAGACGATGCTAACAAAGAAGATGACGGAGATGTTGATGCCGAACCTCCAAGTTGGTTATTGAACAGTCGAACGGTAAGACGTTGAGAAGTTACAACTCTGTGAATAGATGCAGAAGATTTTGAAACCAAGAGCGTGGAAGAAAACATACTATGATTCAAATTGATCTTGAAGTTCTTCCGAATATCTTTCAGGTCTTGTTGAAGAAGAGGGTTAAGGGAGGAGGCAAAAAACAAAATGAGAGACAGAGTAGGAGAGAGGTAAATGATTTGGCAAAATTGGAACGAAAATGGGGCTTTGACTAAGTCTATGGTTAATAACGGTTTGTTCAAAATTTAGTTGGTTTTCAGGGAGGAGAAAAAAAGCAAAATGAGAGATAGAAAGAGGGGTAAAAACTTGGCAAATTGACGAAAATGAGTTTTGACTGAGCCTATGGTTAATAACTATTTTTTCAAAATTTAGTTTGGCTTTCGTGGTCCATCCAAGGAATTGAGTTTTAGTAAATTGATTAAGTATCAAATTTTTATTTATCAATACAATACATTTGTAATGAAGAATGGCCTTTAAACAAAAATTGGGCCTATAAATAATGGGCTTGGTGGAGAGAGAGGGTGATATTGTTATGAATTGAGGCTTAATACTTTAGGCCCATCAAATTTTAAGGAAATGTGGAAGATTTTAAAAGTTTTTTTCCGTACAACATCAAAAGTCATAAGGAGATATATGTCAATTGCTGTTCTATGACGAAACTATTTTGTAGGTGACAAATTTTAGCTAGATTTGAGTATTTACAATTGATTATATATATTTATTTGTTTATTTATTATTTTTTCCTATCGTTTTAATCCGATTCTTAAACTTAAGTAATATATATTTTAGTCTCTAGTTTTTCAAAAAAAGAAAAAAAAAACAATTTACCAAAATGAGCATAGTTCAATCGTAACATGTTAATACACATATTTGAAGCCACGTCACCTATTTGTTAAAACAAAATAAAGATAAAGATTAAAATGATTTTTAAAAAAACTTAGAGATTAAAATAGACTTTCGAAAAGGGAGAATTTCACTAGGTGGTCATTCATATTGTTATATTTGTAAATATAGCAACAAAATTATGATTTTGCAAATATGACAATATTTTTAATGTTTTCAACTGCCTATTTAGATATTTTTACACAATTTCATCTTTATCCTTATACGTATTATTTGTTAATGTCTATCACTCTATCAATAATAGTCACTGATAGACGTTTCAAGGCTATTTTAATATTTTCTATGCTAGGTTTGAGCTATGTTTTTCTTTTCTGTTTTGCTATATTTGTAATTAATTGTAAATTTCAAAAGCCAACACAAGCATAACTTAACAATTTAGGCTAGGGATGTTCATGGGGCCGGGAATTCACAGGGATTGGGTTTCCCGTGGGGATTTTTTCTACCCTCCATTTAATTCCCCATCCCTGCGAAATTCCCCATGAAATTTCACGGGAATCGGGATGGGGATTCCCCGTGGGGAATTCACGGGGATAGGGTTCCCCATGGGGATTTTTCCCCGTTTATTATTTTACTTTTAAATTGTTTCTCAATTAAACATTTTTCTTAACAAAATTTCTAATTAATTAATTAATTTTCAACGATAAAAATTTTATTTACATGTTCTAATCCTCCTTTATATATTTAGTGGATAGAGAAGAATATGGTTTTATTAATATATGTAAGTATAGAAATTTAATAATAAGATTTTTTAATGTGTATATATATATATATATAGATACATACATACATACTAAAAAATGTGAGACAGGGCGGGGAATAGAGAACGGAAGATGGGGAATGCATTCCCGTCTCCGTTCCCATTTAGATGTCGGAAAAAAAACTTTCCCCAACCCCGTCCCGTGGGAAATTTAAACGGGGATTCCCCACCCTATTTAGGCGGGTCTCCATGAGATGAGACTCCGTGGGAGAAATGAACATCCTTAATTAAAGTATCTTACTCATTTATGTAAAATCAGAGGTAGAGGTTGGATTCTTCACTCCAATATTAGAAAAAGAAAAAATTAAATTTCAAAAGTATAATATGGAATTATCCATTAAGAAAAAAATGATCTGCCCTACCTGATCTGTGGGCATGGCAACTCTCCAATCTGTCATTTTGAGTGTCTTATCCACAATTTTCCCCCAAATAAAGATAATAAATGAAGGAAAGAAAAAGAAAAGATTCCTTATCAACTTTTGATGTTAAGGTGACGTGGAGGTGGGGCCTCCTTCTTCAGTGCGATTGAGACCTTTTATTTCTTTTCGAATGATAATTCCAAACATATTTCATCTCCAAATTAAATTATAAAACTTTTTTTTATTATTGTTTAATATGAACATAGTTTAATATATTTCTAAACTTTTAAAATTGTATCTATTTTTTAAAAATCATTCATTTATTAGATATCTAATTTAAAGTTTAGTACCTTATATACCAAAATTAAAAGTTTATCGATCTATTAGATGCAATTTTTAAAAGTTCTAAAACTAAATTTGTAATTTAACCATTGACGTATTATTATAATTAATAGGATAAAAAAGATTAATTTTCTTATCTTAAAATTTAATGGGAACATTTTAAAGTTATCTTTTCATATTATCCTATAGTCTATTTTAAAATAAATAAAATAGTTTTCCTAAAAATTTTGTAAAATAATTTCAAGCATTTAAAAATTACCTTAAATTATTCTTTAAAGAGTTTTTTAAAAAAGAAATAAAAGATTATATCTTGAAAAACACTGCAAACAATATAAGTAACCTAAATAATTTAGCCTCAGTTTAAAATTTATCGAAATTAGAACCTCTTAAACGAACCTTAATTAGTTGTTAGTTATGTTTAAAGTTTAAATTTCTAAATAACATTTTATAACCGTATTAAAGAGAGATTAATTTCAAAGACTATTTTAATATAATATCAAATTAAATTATATAAAATTGAGCTAAATATACAAGTAAAAGAAAATGATTTTTTAAAAGAAAAAAAAAAAGTTAAACACGCTTATAGTAAGATTAGGCTTCATTCCTATTTAGTCTCTGCCGTCATTTTTGTCTCTGATATTTAAATTTTTGTTTTAATTTAATTTTCAAAAGTGACGTTCTTATCCCAAGTTCAAATTTGTTTCAAATTTAGTTTTAAATTCATCCCATATATTAAGTCTGACTGATAGAAGATCTAATAGAATGATGGTGTGATAGCTAACCTATATTAATTAGATTTTAGTAACAAGTATTTTTTAGTTTAATCCGACAAATTTTATTATTATTTATTATCTTTTACTTTGATGGCATTTCTTCTCTCCTCTTCCAATTTCTCTTTTTATTTATTTCTTCCCCTCGTCTTGGAAAGCCTCACTTTTTCAACGAAGACCAGAACCCATTCAATCAATTGAAATCAATGCGACTTCGTCCTACCAGGAAGAGTCTGTGAAGGATGAGAACCCACTATGTTCTAAATTATAATGTAAATTAGTAAATTTTTTTACAACCAACTAGATTCATCGACAATAGTATTTCTTTTTTTCTAGATCTTTCGTTATGGTTATCTAGTCAACATATGTTAACTGTCAAATGATCATTTTGTTAGACCAATTGATAGTCATCTAAATTTAATCATCCATTACAAACATTAACTCAAACCTTAAAGATCAATTAAAAATTAAATTCAAACGACATTTTACTCTTAAAATAATTAGTTTAATGTCATATGCCTTCAACATCACTAAGCTGTGGCTGTACCAATTTGATATTACCCAAATTCCAAGGACTGACACTCAAAAGTCCACAGATTGTTTTTTGTCCAGCTGTTGCTCCCACCCACTGTTTTTATTAACATAATTTTTTTAAAAAATTATGTTAATAAAAAAAGAAACCATTCCTTCTGAAAATCCAAATCCATCGAGTGAATCCCTGCGAAATGAAGAAATATAAATTAAAACAATTCTGTAATAGAGATAAAAGGGAAAAATTATAAAAGAAAAAAGAAAAAAGAAAAAAAAGAGAGAAAAATAAAACAAACACGTCACGTCAATTCACAAGAAGGAAAAAAAGCAGCAAAACTTTTTACCTTCTCAGGAAAAGAAGCACAAAGCAACAAAAACGCAGTTCAAAAGAGGCTGATCACTGCCACGTCAACTCTCTCGCCGCCCACGCCAAAGAAACTGAAATTAATGGACGGAAGCCGTCAAATCACACGGCGGAGATAACAGAATGGCAACACCGGTAATGGAGTATTTTCCAAACCCTAAATCTACACATCTGGTCCGATTAGTGGTTACACAACTTTTTAATCCATGTGAGTTTCATTAAATCGTGATGGATTGCTGGATTTAATACTAATTAGAGGTCTGAACGCCGATTCCTGGCGAACGTACACAAATTCATATCCATCTGTGTATAAAATATTAATTTGTACAAGGAGCTTTCAGAGATCTCTGTAGTGAATGTCAGGTTCGGTCGCCGGAGCACATCAAAAAGAAAGTACCGTCCACGATTCGTCGGAACCTGATACCGCCACCGCTGCCGGAGATCGGAAGCGCTGCGTTTCCATCTTCGGAAAGCCGACGATTAGGAAATTTCTAACCAATTTTCCCATTCCACCATACCGAATGATTATAATGTTTCTTCGGCCCTGGACATAATCGACAGCCGGCTATGCTTCGGCTTAAAATCGGCTCTGCGCCGTTGCTGATGTGAAGAAGGCCGAATCAAAGCCGCTAAAGCTCGCTTCACCAGATCGCCTTCAACGCCTCCGATTCTAACCAGAGAGTTCGTCATCGCCGATCTACGAGCATTCAGTCTATTCGGCGAATACGGCGCGTGAGACTGCGAAACGATGCCTTTATGGAGGCTACACCGGAACGAGCCAGGGTGCGTGGTAGGAGAACACATACAGGTCCTCTTGGAACTGCTCCGCCTCTGCACCACTTGAACATTACCACCGCTGCGAGAAGAAACAGACACGGAACTGTGAAGAGCAAACCGCACGGACGGCACGGAAACCGGAGACGAGCCGTGAAGCTTCACGCGCGACGGGGAAGTCGATCTGCAGAAGAAGGAAGTGGCTGATGTAGAGGAGAAGCTGGAACTCGAAGACGCGAACGCCGACGGGGATGAACTACGGCAATTGTAGAATCTTCCGGACGGAGAGAGCGATCGGAGAACTGATCCGTTCGATCTTCGAGAAGTTGCCGCCATTTTCGTTACAGTAGAGAGAGAAGGGAGGATGAATCTGGAGCCTTCTGCTCAGCTTTCTGCCAAATACGCCGCGTTTGGCTGTTGAGTTTGGCAAACCCATCTTCACTCCAAGTATGTATTTATAGGAATCCGACGGACCAGAAGAGAATGGTTCGATTTCTCTGTTTTGGATATTTCTTTTTTGGGGAGGCATCTTTTGCATTCATACCCTTCATCTTTTGTATATTTCTGAAACTCGACATGTCAAATTTTTAATTCGAGATATTCGTGCTATTACTAATGAATCATAATTATGTTTGATTTTGTACTAAAATAATAAAAATAATCATGTTTAATTTTGTGTTTAATCTCATAATATACAAAACAAGAAAATGTTATATTAATTAGAAAGCGCCAACAAAGGGTCTCTAACTGAATTTTAAAGGGAGAAACGCATGAATTAAAAAAAAGGGCTAAATGCTATTTTTGTTATGTTTCACTTTGGTTACTCTAGTATACTTTCCAAACGTCAGTTTTTGTATTTTTTTAAAATGATCATTTTGATCTCTATTTATAAAATTTTAGAGGTTTCTTAAATTTTTTTTTTTTTGATATTTTACCTTAGTGAGTGAATGTCGTACTAAAATGTTATTTGAAATATTTGAGATAAATATAAAAATGAATGGACTAAAATAGTTACCTTTTAAAAGTAAATTAAATGAAATGAACAGAAGTTGAGATAATAGGAACCAAAATGAATCTTTTGAAAATATAAGAATAAAAATGAATCAAAATTAAAAGTATATGACCAAACTAATATTTAAATAAAAAAATTAAAGTTATGATCTAGATTTTACTAGAATTGATAATTATAAAAAGAGATATAGACCAAAACGAACATAAGTCATCGATAATTAATGAATCTACTTACGTCATAGAAAAGTTCTAGAAAAATTCAAAATCTGATTCATAAGCTATGAAAAAATCGTCTGGATGAGACAATTGTTTTTTCGGTATCATTCAAGTTAGTTAGATTATTCTACATAACAACAATTTTAAGCAATAAATAATATTCGATTATTTATAAAAAATATATATATATTCGACTTTGATGAGATCTTAAATTTCAATTTCTACCCCTATAATTAAATTGAAATATTAAGAGCAATAGAAAATAATTATAAAGTCTTTGTGCGGGGATGGGGTGTCCAGGTGCGGTAGAATCTTAGGTTATTGTTTATTAAAATTTCTAAATATTCTTTTCGTTAAAGAAATAAAGTAAACATAAAATAATAATAACAATCAAGCATCATTAATCATTGAAACGGTGAGAAATTTTAAAAAAAAAATTATAATAATCTTTTAAATCAAATATGGGGGACAGAAATACATGTGATGTTCCTCGTAATTATTGAACAAATAATTCAACGAATAATCACTTATTGAATTTGATTTTATTAAATTTAAACATGATTCCTTATAGTTTTTTAAAAATGGGAGCATCTATTTATTAATTTATTAACCTAATATCTATATCCTCCCTAAACATCTTTTTTAGTACAACAAAAATGTAGTAAAGAGATTTGAACCTAGGGTCATTTAAACCACTCCTACCTGTCTTAATTTCAAACAAAAAATAACAATAAAAAAATGAACATTGAAATAAAATAATATTCAAAGTCAATAAACTAATATAAAATGTGATTAAGACACCTATCTCTAGTTAAAAGGTCATGAGTTCTAACCTCCACCCCTTATGTTGTWAAAAAAAAATTAATATAAAATATTTGTAAGTCGATGAAATAAACATTGGATTTTTTTTTTGACAATAAACATCGGAGAACTAAACAACTAGAATACAATAATTATAAAAGATAAACTTAAAACATATTTTAATCTTAAAATAAAACAGTATCAGGAGATGATGTCGGGAGGTGCAACATCACGCGAGTGTCACGCCTTTCTCTCTTAGCTTGAACTTTATCTTTGCATAGAAATCTAGCATTTAGTGTGGTATTCTATTGATTGCACTATGATGCCTAAGTTAGTACACAAGGTGGGAGCAAATGGGTATGGAGCACGTAAACTTGTAATTTAATGACAAAAATCTCCATAAAAATTTGTGTAACGGTGTGTAGAGAGTTTTTCGTAGGAATTTGTACAAGAGTTTTTGCATACCTCGATTCAGGTTCAAGTGTTTATTTTGTATGTTGAGAGAAAGAATGGGAGGGAGAGCCAAACGAGCGAATGTTGGGACCCCTGACATTCTACATTTCTCTCAAACTTTTTAGAGTCGTGCGTGTCACCGTCAAGGATAGCCACCTAACTTGTTGTAAGGTTCGTCACAGGTTCTAAATCTCAAATTTGTTAAACTTGTTTGTATGCTCGTACGATGCGTTCAGGTATTGGTCCGGTACGTTTGGTGTTTTTCTCTCATCTATTCACGCCAGCTTCATCTATTTCTCCACTGGCACTCCACACAACATTCTAAATTTACTCCTGAACCAAAAAAAATAATTCATGTCTACATGTTAATTAATATATTCAATTCGAACCAATAATAGAATATAAAAAAAAGGGTTAGTTTAAAGGCTAAAATAATATTTTTGAAGTCAGAAATCCATGAATCAAAATACAATTTATATGAGTGTTTAAATAATCATTAAGGTTAAAATTAAGATAAAAGACCATTGGTGGTGAGCATGCCAGCCAGCAGCCAAGCTTTGTCAATAATGAAATTTAGAAAAGTACGAGGGCTGAACAGCAAAAATAAAAGATACAAAAATGGAAACTTTTTTATTTTGGTGGGAAAAGTTGCAAATGATGCATAAGTTTAACCCAACCAACCACTGGGCGGTTGGGTTAGTTGAACCGGATTGTGGTTCAGCTATATGAGCCAGCCTGCAGTTCTATTCTATTTCTAATTAAAATTTATATTTTTTAGTAAGTTGCTTTTTACTTTTTTTTTTCTCTCTTTTCCTTTTTGGCCTTTTAATCCCAAAATTGCCAAAACGACAAAAATGGCACCGTTCGATCTGACAGCTGTCTTCCTATTCGCCAGTTGTTGCCACGTAAGCTGTCAGTAACGCTTTGTATTACACGTCCAGACGAACGTATCCAATAAGGTGTTTTCTTATATTATACCCAAATTGCCCTCCATTTAAATTTAATTTTGAAATTAATTCATTTTGATACCTAAATATTTAATATATCAATTTCGTCACCATTATAGTCCTCGTTATTATTTTGCTGGTACTTGTTTACAAATGAATAATATAGTTTCGAATACATGTATTAATGTTTTAGAGGGATTGTATATTAGAGACGTATGATTGGGTAGGTGGACAAATTTTGAGTGCCAAAATAATAGTAAAGATTAAAATATTCTTTTTTAAGTCTAACAACAATCTTAATTGTCAATCTAACCTATCTACCTCGATTGATTAAAGCATATATTCCTATCAATCTCCACCTCTAACTGTTGTACAATTCAAAAAAATAAAAAAAATAAACATTCTGGTTATGGTAATATTTTTACCGACAATTATTTAAGAAATGGATAATGTTGTTTTTAATATATGTCCAAATATAGACATGAACATATATTTAAGTTGTACTAAAAAATAACATATAAATAAGCCATATAGATTAAGTGAGACCAATATTTAGGATAAAATAACAACATAACATGTAAAATGGTTACTTTTTTAGTATAACAAATGATATTGATGGATTTGAATTCATAATTTTTTTGTCAGAGACAGGTATCCAAGTCAAACTCATATTGAGATTGTTACCTTTTGAAAAGATGAACTAAAATAAATATTTTGAAAGTTTAGAAATAGAGTTACATGAACTTACAAATTTAAACCCATATATTTTTTAGGCATTTAAAAAAAATCAAAATAATAAAATAAATTTAAACCCATATATTTATGTTTGGGTTATTTTTCTTTTGGTTTTTAAGACTTTCAATTATGAAAATTATGTTGTTTACTTTTTTTTTCTTGCTTTCAAATCTTAGCCAAATTAAAAAAATTTATGTTGGTCAAAATTGCTCAATGCCAACCGTCTAATTAATTTTTGGATTCTAATATACAAAATGGTCCCCTAAATAATATTTATGTACAAAAATGACGTATGAAAGAATTGAGCATATATTTGAGAGGTTATTTATGATTATAAATAGGGTTGGTTTAGAATCATTTGTCCAAGAAAAATTCAAAGTAGTTGGGTGCAACATTATAAATTTAATAACAACATTCTTTGGCAAACCAAAATCCACTTCACATATTTCTTTTCTATTTAGTTTGAAAAAAAAAACTTCAAAGGTACTGGTTAAGATATATATCATCAATGTTCAAATCTTCACTCCCACCCATCGTAACAATACCAAAATTTCCTCTTTAAAGAATAACAAAATATAAAGAAGCAAATATCAGATTTAGGGTGTGTTTGGAAGTGATCGATAGAATTAGTGATTTTGAAAAAAATAGATTGAAGTAGTATAATTGATTTTCCAAAATCATCATTCAACTGATACTTAAAAATCAATTTAAAGTGTTTTTAGACTTTCTTAAAAATAATTTTTTAATTTTCCAAACATGATCAATAAAAAGAGAGAGTGATTTTGAGAATGCGAAAATCTCAAACACACTCTTAAAGCAATCTATTTTAAAGTTTATAGAGATAACAAAATACAAATATAAATCTTATTATGATATTTGAAACTGTCCTAGTGTGTGTTTGGGAGTTTTGCACTTGTTAAAATAACTTCTCTTTCTATTCATCATGTTTGACAAATTAAAAAATTGATTTTATGATAGTTTAAGATCACTTTAAATTAATTTTAAGGTATCACTTGTATGACGATTTTGAAAAATCAATTATACCTGAATCTCTTTTTTCAAAATCACTACCATCACTCTCAAATATACCCCTAAGTTATAATATTCACGTCTATAAGACACGGTTAAAAAATAATACAATATTTTCTTCTTATAAAAATTTTAAAGAACACAATATATTTTAAAATATATTACTTCATCACATTTCAAATATATATATAATACAAAAAGAATGTAGTTTTTTTTCCCCAAAGGAAAAGAGTGTTGATCTTTTTAAGAATAAATATCATATTGGTAATAATTAAAAAAAAAAGTGCTTGATAAGAATCGTACTAACCATAAAGGTATATTTTTCCATAATTTAGAGGGAACAATTAATATATATATATAATTTTTTTTTTTTTGTATAAGTATAACCTTTTCCCGGCAATTCAAAATATCAAGTTAAAAAAATTCATATCTTACAAGTTAAATTTATTTAATTTACAAATCAACTAAAATTTGTTCAAATTGAAATAAGTGATTCTAATACCATGGTCTTTTTTCTTTAACCTTTTCATCTAAATTCACGTGTTTAATCAAATCTTATTCAACTAACTTGACATGATTGTTTATAAATGGACATCCTAAACGTACCACATGCCCATCACATGACTCAAAAGTATGTCTTTCTTCGACTTTTGACAACTCTAGATTCTTCAACTTAGATATAATTGTTGGGTTTTGACAAATATTAAAAGTGAGATTATCTTAAGTTGAAAAGATACTAGGAGAAGCGTGCTCTAAGTACTATAAAGAGAGCTAATAATTTTGAGCTTGATTCATCCCAATTGAAACACTTTAAACTTGGTATATACTAGCTCTACTTAACCGATATTTGTTTTGAGGGGGTGTTTAGCGTAATTAGGATCAGGGAGAGAATTTTTTGTGATTGTAATAATTTTCACATAGTAAATTTTCTTTGTGGGTGGGTTTTCTTCGATTCGAAGTTTTTCATGTAAATTTTTGTGTTTTCTTTTAATTTGTCTCAATTATTTTCTACTTATTTCTGTTATAGAAATAGAAGGTTTTTTTTTCCATCGATGACAGCACCGCACCGACGTCCCTGCCTCGTGACCGCCATCTTTAGCTCTTTTCATGCATCATGATTAATATCGTGCCCACAATAGATAGCTAGGTTTCTCGTTTAGGGCCACATAGTGAGTTGTTAGTCATGCATGCCATCACTCAATACATTCCTCTCAATTTACAACTCTATCCTAATTTTATGTCATAGTTTTGTTTTAATTCTTTGATTACTGGAGTGTCACTTAGATCTTTATCTCAATCAAATAAACTCTTAATTTTATTAAGGAAACACTCGATCCCATCAACAATTAATCATTTTCATACCATCAATCGAGATATTTATAACTATTTCAGGTTATGAATTATTCATATCCCGATAAAATATCTATTTATTCATTTTTGTCATTAGCATCTAAACTTGAGTATCAAAATCGTCTTCTCTCAAACATTTTTTTTTACACGCTATTAGTGGATTAGGACATTTACATCAAAAGTATTTTCAAATCTAATTAGCATTTTAAATTGCTTTTTTTTCTATCTTATTTATTGAACTATGTTCAAATTGACATGAATAATTATATTCTAAAATAATTTTTTCTCCAAAACAATTAGTCCAGACAATATGAAAATTTCAAATAGTAAAAATAATTAAGTGATGTGTGCCTATAGACTTGTGCTTATCTTAAACTCAAAATTTGCTCCAGTGCAGCTGCATTAGAGATATCTATTATTTTCATTAAAATAATAAAGACGATTTTCCCCCATCATTTTCAATCTTTTAATATATAACATGTTTAATATCTCCATCAATATCAAAATTAATCTCAACATTTAAATCCCTATTTTTAAAAAGATTTTTTTATAAAAGAAAAGCAAATATTTATTTACATTATTAAAGAATGTAATTTGTCCCATCTATTTATTTAAAAATAAAAGATTCCTTCTTTCTCAAAAATAAAAATAAAAAAAGAATCCAAAAGGTGATATTTTATTTTCATTTATCTCTCTTTAATGTAAGGGGATAATTATATGATATTTTTAGTGCACATCTCCTAGCTAGGAAAATCAATCATTTTTTACAAAAAGAAATTAAATTTTAGTCTCTCTCTCAATTTGATTGCAATTAAGAGAGAACAAGTGGACCAAATAAGTAAATTTTAGAATTTAAAAATTCCACTATAAAATTAGGTGTCACATGTAAACAATAAGCTCTCCACTTTGAAGCTTATCTAAAATGTTCCAATCAAATATTATATCCAAAGGATATGTTATGAAAATTAAAGGGTCAATTCAAGTTTGGTGTATGCAATTTGGATGCCTTCAAAAGTAAACTTTTACCATATAATATTATCTTATAGATATAGTTTATGCTTTGGACCCACATCAAATATAAAGATTTTAAAATTAGAGAACTTGGGAATTTGACAAACTTCAAATTCTTTGTAGAATCAAACAAATGTCAAAAGATTGAAAATTTGTGCCATGAGTAACCAACCATTGTGGGTAAATATTATTTTTTTTAACACATTATTTTCTTCTCAAAACTTTCCAAATTTCTCCTTTTCAACTTATTTTAATCATTAATAATTTGGATATAAATCTAGATCAATTTTGAAGCCCAATATTTGACTGGTTGTAATGTAGTTTTAATGAACAATTTTGGTTGATTTCAGTCATTGATTCTGCGGGATACAAAATCAACCAATCAAGTGTTAAGTGGGTTCAAAATATATATACACTCCCAATCACCACCCCTAAATATCTTTTTCCCTAAAAAGTGTACATATGAAACAACGTTGTTTTGCTTGTTTATTCAAAAGAATGTCATTTTATCAACGACAAAAACAAAAGTTTAGTGAATAAAATAAAGACGTTTTACTTTAAATGGTGATGTCTAATATATAATAATGATAAAGGAAACCTAGTATATTGTCAATATCAACAATAATCATAGCTTTCCACAATAATCACCCTAGTAGATCTTATCGGTTACCTTATTTCAATAGCCTTACTAGTCATTCTGCTTAATGCTAGTAAGTCATTTTTCTTTAATTTTCACCTCAACTTTGACCAATCGACCGACTATTGTTTAAATTTGAAAATGAAATTATTTTTTCAAAGTGAGTCGATGTTGATGTTAGTTCGACTATCATTTTGGTGGACCCCGATCAAACCTCACCGAAATGAGTAACCACTAGCCAATAGTAGCTAGGCTATAGTTGATCTAGTTTTGAAAAAATGTGGTAGTGTATAATAATGGTAAGAAAGAAGTAAAGATTTGAAGGGCAAAACAAGAAGGTTGTTTGGTTTGGGTATGAGTATCCACAATGCTTGAAATTGGGCAGGGCATGAGAATGACATCTTACCAATCTAAACAAGTAGGCCATTTGGTGTGAAGACCAAATTTTAAGAAGAGGACCAAAATATTGGTCCACTTGTTTCTCTTCCTCTTATAATGGGCCTACTGGTCTTTTGGCCAACTTTGTAAGTGTGGGCTCCACAACCCACTCTATCTTTCTCTTTCTTCTTTTTGAAAACAAAAATTAAAAAAAAAAGCAGCAAAGAACCATTTTGAAATGTAGAAAAAAATTGATAGTTAATTACAAATATAGAAACCGCTTTCCCTAAGTTATAGATATATCGGAAAGCAGAGGTTCAACTCAAATGGAAAAATGAAAATAACTACATTGATATACCACTGATATATCAATTATATTAAATTATCAGTGATATACCGAATATGAAATATATGTCTATGTTACATAAATATCAAGAAAATAATGGCATGGATAACTATTTTTGAAAAAAAATTTGACAGACAAAAATTCACAAAAATTATTTATAATAATATTTTATAAATTCATCTATATACTCAAACCACACAGTATGAATAATAATTTTTAATTTTTAAACTAAAAAATACCTATCGATTTGGTTAAAAAAATTAATAATTTAAAATTATGGTATGTTTGGGAGTAATTTGTAGAAATCATTTTGTTATTCAAAATCACTTCTTTTTCCATTAATATTGTCTGATAAATTAAAAAGAAAAATTAATTTTAAGAAACTTAGAATTGATTTGTAAGGTATTAATAATTTTAAAAAATCAATTATACTTCGATCTCTTTGTTTTTTTACCACCGTGACCCTTTGAAACAATAAGTCACCCATAGTCTAAAAAGTTCTTAAATTTAGCTACTAAAAAAATCTACAAATTCCATTATGGGCATATATGTTATCAGCTATATATACAAGTCTCAAATAGTTGAAAAATTATTAACATTAATATCATATAGATTTTAGTGATATATTTGGTAAGAAACGGTAAAATGGTAAAATGTGGATTCATCCTTCCCGTCGTCCATGCGTATGTACATATGTCGAGAACGATAGCCGAAATTGAACACAAGAAGAAGAAAAATGATGGGAAAATCGTAAGTGTGCAAGTGTTATCCCGGAGCTGCGGCAATGAACTGCTTGTTGTAGACCCGATGGCGGCGCTCTCGAGCATATATAACCCAGAAGATGAGGGACAGCATGACGGCGGCGGACACTATGAGCAAGCCCACGTATATGGACTGCGTGTACTGTCGGAGGCCAGGGCAATGGCTGTTCCTGATGTCTGTGAACACTTGTCGCACGAATGTACAGTCCACCAGTTCCAACATGAACGGCCCGTACCGGTACAGCCCGTAGCTCACGTTCACTGCGGCCACCATTTGGGTGTAGAACATCGGGGTCAACCGCCCGGTGGTGCCGCAGATTCCTGACCCTGATAGTTGGCAGGTCATGTTCTTCCATACCTGTCCAAGGTTTTTGGGGCAAGATTTGCTTAAAAAAACTGCTAATAAATAACTCCGAATGGAAACACTTCTATACTTCCCAAAGTTTCGATACTACCTTTAAACGTTTCAAATTAAGATACCTTTTGAGCAAATGTGACGGTTGGTGTGAAAACCTGTTTGGATTAAGTATGAAAAGAGAGAAGATGAGGAGGAAAGCTACCGTTTTTAAAAATTAATAAGTTAACAATTTTTTTAATGGGGTTAGGACAAAATTTTATCCTCATTGTCAAGAAGTGAAGTATTTTTCGTAAAAAGTGGATAAACAAACTCGGTTGACAATGGAAGGAGACTCTCTAACGACAAAATTAAGTTTGAAAAGAGATGAAACGTGGGGAAAATTGAGTACCAATACTCATACTATGATTTTACCTTTATAAATGATTTTTCAAATATTTATGGATCCCATAATCATTTTTAATAGGATGCTGGCATAGCAAGCAAATAATATGAGTATTCATACTCCTGTAGTACTTGAATTTTTTTTTTTGAAAATGTGCCCAAGTCAACTTTCCGTTAAAATATCAATGGATGTTTGCTCAAAAGATATTTTTGAAACATTTATGAAATGTAAAAGGTAGTATTGAAACTTTTGAGAGGATAAAGGTTAAGCCAAGTATTTGGAAAACTAGCTATATAACGTAAATCTCTAACCTCAGGAGCTTTGCTCAGTTCTACTTCTTCCAACGTGCAGTTTCGATCGGTGAGATCGGGATTAAACGGACTGCAAAGATATGGCACCAAGGGGCCAGACTGATTGTAATTGAAAGGAGGGGTGAGATCTGGAGTGGGGTTGGCATTTGCGAGCCTGTGGATCACTCCATTCACCAAACTTACAATTTGGACATTCACATTCTTGGATTGTGTCTGAATTTCTCTTGCTGTCGCATTGTCGATGCACGGAAGGATATCGTCTAACGCCGTGTAGGCAGTCGGATGCTGCAACCAATCATCCATTGCAACACATGCATCTCCTATCACACTAACGCATATGAGGGGAAAAAAGGATCAAATTCAGACAACATTCAACAAAAACAGCAACATTTCTTCAACAAACAGATGCCTGAACCTTACTTATGGAGAAGAAGAAACACGCCACACAGAATGAATGTGACCGTAACCAGAATCCAACCAAACACCACCAAGCTGCAGTCATTAAGAATGGAAGTGTTCAATATATTACAACTTAACCGAAATGAACGAGAAGATATATGTATACTTACGTGCTTACGATACACTGCAACCCGAAGATGGAACATACTGGATCAGGTAGCACAAATGAAATGATGTAAGAAAAGGGTTCAAATTATGGTCACAGTTCATAACTCATTTAGTCAGAGAAATCAAGACACTTACAGAATCCAACAAATGTCAATAGGAGCATAACAGCAGAAATAATAATGAGGGCGAGTCCCCTGCGATACAGAACATGAGAATTTATTACTTGGTTTGGCGTTATCGAATCAAAAGCACCAGAATTTGATACAAGGGCTTCTACTTACACTCCATCCAAGCCTTGCTGTATCGTGTGAGCATTGTCTTCAACGGCATCAGTAAGAATAGAAGCAGTAGAACTGATCTTTGTCCCAATGTCGTCAATTCCTTTCTGGGCCTGTGCAGCCAGAAATATCGAATCGACTGCGATAGTCTTTGCGGCAGAAAGAGAGATTGCCAAATTCTTGAGGTTGTCAACAGTTGCATATGCTTGATGCAGAATAAATTCCAACGTCCTCGTCGTACGGCTGTGAAAATTCCCTTGACCGACATATAACACGATGCATCCAACACTGATTCCAGGCTCGAAAAACAAGGACATATATGTTCATATTAACTTCTGAGCCACATTATAAGATTTAGACTGCAGTTTGGAGGGAAAAAGATGTTTACACTGCTGAGATGGTAAAGAATATGAGGAAAGCAAGAGAGAGGGCATAGGCCGTTCGAGAATAGCCATAAGGCTTCCTCCGACAACAGCAACTATAAAGACAGGTGATGAACAAGCATATCCCAAAGAGCAGGAACCAAACAACGGCAATGATAAATAATGGAGCACCGGTAAGAGCAACAGACTGCATCAGATTGAAACAGTGCAGAAGGCTCCATGGTTAACACAATGTCAAAGGACAACAAAAGTAATGAATGATGCAGAGAGGACCTAAAAACAGGAACCCAAATTCAAATTTAGCCACTCAAATTTGAATCATTTCCTCCAAAAATGATATTGTTAATCACTTGTAGGCCAAGCAAGAAGCGAGCTAACCATATGCCGTAACTTATCAAAGTTGATGATCTAACAAGTTTCTTTCAACTTCAGGAAACAGGGGAAAAAAACAACAGCTGAGAAAATTGGCCTTGGAGGAAAACAACGATGAAAATGAAACAAAGAATACAGCCGAATTTGTCTAGATGGAGAAGGAAACCAAAATGGGCCACAAAATTACAACATGATCATGGAACTCAAATAATGAGAAACAGAGAGAAGGAACTCACTGCCCAGTAATGCTCATTACTAATATTCCATCCACCAGTATAGAGTTTAAAACCCCCAATTGGGTCTTTCCTGTGCGTCCTGTATGCGGCCAAAATCAGCGACGAGTTCGCAGCAGCATCCGATCCCGTAAGGTTTATTGCATCCATCAATGGCTGCGAAGCATTAAGGGCCCCAACCCCATCAAAATTATCTGATTCTCGTAAAAACCCAGAAACGAGAAAACGAAATCAGATTACGCAGCATTTGGGGTCTCCAAGAAATCAGAAAGTTGAGAGTTTAGGAATACCGGCGACGAGAGTGCCGTTGAGGTCTGAGGCGGCGCGTGATGAATGCGAGAAGAAGAAGAAGAAGAAGAAGAGAAATGGAAGAAGAAGAAGGAAAACGGATGAAGGTCTGCGTCGAGGGAAGATCATAATGGCTCTCCTTCTCGCATTCAGAGAAAGAGAGAGAGAGAGCTTTGCAAAATCCGAGCTGATCCCTCGATTTGATTTCCCACTTTCTCTTTCTCAGACTTGTGTTTAATTTTGGTGGACAATGAATTCAAGCAAAAGGTTTGAACATATGGCTTAACTTTCATCTCGGATTTTTTATTTTTAATTTAATTAATCATCCTCATTAGATTTTATTAGACTTGTTTAGGGCCAGTAATTGATGTATTGTTGCACCTTCATGAGTTTTTGTTAATATTTTTTAAATGTAACATGCAGATGGAGATTCGAACTTACCATTCTCTTGTTTGAAAGATGATTGAATTTGAGTTATGCTCAATTTGATTTGTAGTTTTTATTATTAGTCATTAATTAAAAGAAAAAATCATCGTATATAAATTTAATTTTATGATATGATGTTTTTGTAGGACAATATATCTTTTAATAAACATGATTATAATTCAATTATCAAAGTATTACTTATCTTTTTAAATGTTAGAGATAAAAAAGAAATAGAACTCTCGTACTTCTATCCCGTTCTTTTTTTTTTCTTGAGAAATTCAAGACTAGCATCGTGTTGATCCATGCAAATATCATGATAAACTAAATCCAATACTAATAATCTAACAAATGTGGAACTTAAAGTTTAGTATAGAAATATTCAATATTTTTATGGAGATTTGATTTCATTTTTTTTAGTATTTGTAAACGCAAAGGAACTTATGGATATTTAATTGCAGATTAATTACGTGTGTCCGAAGACAAAGCCACGTCAGAAAAAACCATTTAAGCTGTCGCTGTAGCGTGCTGCCACGTAGTAAAACTTGCCACGTGTCGCTTTTTTCCACATCTCTCTCCTAATAACCAGCGAAGAAAAGCGTTTGAATTAATTAATGAATTAATTAATTACGAGAACGTACGTTTCTCCAATCATTGGAGAATAAACAATAAATTTTTAAATAGAGTTATGGTTGAGTTACTTTAAAGTTGGAATTTTAGAAGCCGTTTGAAAAATATAACTCTATCTTATATCTATTTTTCCCCCTTTTCATTATTGAAGAAATAGTAACCTTCTTTTAACCGTTTCTTATTTTTTGTTATCTAAAATTTTAAAGTAAAAATTTTATAAGAAAATTAGATATTCAAAAATTTTATGTTATATTTATCTTTTATATTCATTATGCATTTTATAAATTACAAAAAAAATAAAATAAAATTTCTGTCTATATTTTGGAAAGAATTAGAAACAGGAAATGTAAACAAGAAACAAAAAAAATTTGATTGTGTTGGTTTTAAAATTTTTTACATAATTTTAAAAATATTTCTTAAAAGAAGAAAAAAAAACACGAAACAATCGCTAAATGTTTGTGTTTCTATTCAAAAATTGAAAATGAGGGAAAAAAACAGAAGTATTACCAAAATTCCATAGGATGCCTGCTATCTCTTGATTTTTTCTTTTATTTATTTATTTTTTTTGGTACAACTTTTCTTTTAGTTTTTGTTAGTGGGTTAAAATATAAATTTATGGATTTAATCTCATTTTAGTTTTTAAATTTTAGAGATTATTTTATTTTGACCTCTAGATTTTTAAAATATTAAAGAAATATATATTAGATTATAGTTATTTTTAGTTTGGCTGATTGTAGTTAAATAGTATACGAATATTTTATTATTTTTATCCGTGCATTCAATTTAATTAGTAAGTCGATTTTAATATCCAATATCAATTTTGTACATATATATATTTTTAAATTAACTATTTATTGATCTACTTTATCAAATGGAGTGTATTTGACCCCAATCCTCAATTCCATTATCAAATGGAGTGTATTTGACCCCAATCCTCAATTCCATTTTTATTCACCGTGATGTTCTATGATTCATTAACTTATGAATATATACGTCAAAGCGACCATAGCAGGTTGTGAGTTCGAATCCCCTCCCCAACATGTTGTACTAAAAAAACCTATGAATATAGACTTTCATCCTATCAAAAAGGAAAAAAAAAAAAGAATATAGACCTTCATAAAATATCTTTTAAAAGAAATATTTTCTTACCAATGGTTTCATCTCTCATTAATTAAAAGAAAGCACGAAGCGACTATAAATATAATCAACTTAATTAAATTGTGATAAAAGATTATCATAATAATATTAGGCATGTGCATATAAAAATCGTATTCTATTTTTTTGTCACACATTTTAAGGTATATACTTGGTTCCAAAGCATTCAAAAGTCAACATTTTCCAATGGGGTATATCATGTGCTTTGTGGAAATGTGGCTCGATAACAGTTTTAGAGGATCAAAGTAGGTGTACGTTGTAAACTTTATTTAATTATTGCATGAGATTTTATTTGATTTATAATTTCTATAAAGTCCGTCTCAACATTCATTCATGATCATGACATCAATAATGGAAAAGATTAATATACACCATTCACATTGTAGGACAATTGAGTCCTTACGAGTCAGCCGCAAAACGAGACTTAATTGAGATACTTTTTTACTTATTCCTCAATCTAACATAATAAAAATTATATATATAAAAAAAAAAAAAAACCTGTTGAACTTGGATTGGAGTATTGACATGAACAATAATTCAGCAATTTCAAGTCCTAATGTGTTCATTTTCTTTTGGTAGAAGGTTCAAATCTCCGCCTCATATTTATTATAAATAAATACTATTTTTTAACCATGATATATATTTATGAATGAACCATAGAAATTTTTTTTTGGCAAATAAATAATATTTTTCTTTAATTTAAGAAAATTAGAATTCAAATTAAGGTCATTTTTATGTTTCTATTTAATGAGGCAAACAACCCAATATCACTATTGTCTCTTGATATCTATCCCCCAAATTGCTTATAAATATAATAATTAAAATAATTCCCTAGGCTTGATCATATTCATTTTTTTTAATTTGTTTAAATAGTCAAGAAATAAGACAAATACAAACTATCCTTTTAGATTTACCCATAATTCGACCAAACGATTAAAATATGTTTTTAAATTTTGTTTTAAATAAGGGAAGTCAACGAATCTAAATTCCCTAAAAAATTTCCAAAAAATAAATGGATTCATTCTTTAACAAGACTAAGTTTTAATTAAACATCTTGGGAAGGTATCTTATTACATACAAAATACTAAATGCAAATCATGCAAGGTTAAATATATTTTTTAAATCACAAAACTTATTAATTCATCTTTCATGCAAAGTTATGTTTAGATTAGAGTAATATTATTTCTAATTTTCAAATTTTAGATCGAGATAAGATTTCTCTTTCTTTAAAAGTGTAATTAACTTAACTTAAATTTGTTATATTTTAAAACTAGTAGGTAAAAGAAATAAATGAGAATACAATAATAAACAAAATACATCTTCCCAAATCAGCTTTTAAAAGTACCTTCCAATAATAGTCCTTAATATTTTCCTTAAAAAATAATAAAAAAAAGTTACTAATAAAACCTAGGACTCCTTTTTTTACCCTTTTTTTTTATTATTTAGAATTACATTATTCAAATTGATACGAGTCCTATTCAATGAACTCAACATTGTTAAAATCTATATTTTGTTATTTTCAAATTATGAAAGTTATTGCTAAATAAAAAAGAGCAAATAAAAAGTAAATAAAAATGATATATCAGAAAAACTCTTATTATCCAAATATAAATGAAGGATAATATGATTGAATTGGTCTACCAAAGTTTTTTCAAAAATGAAAATTTTCGAACCAGAAAAGCGATTTAATAACTTTGAAAGAATTGAATGAAGAAAAACATGTGGTGAGCATCTCATATATATATATTTTGTCGAATTGTTGACTTATATATCAAGTTTTCCTACTTTAGTCTCGAAAAAATAAAAATTATACCTTAGGTAAAGTACAAACTGATTTTTTTGTTTTTGTTTTTTTCTTTTGTCTATCTTGAAACTAGCCCACGTGGGCTCCAAAGAAAGACCAAATTACCAAGGCCAATAGCACTTCACTAATGAAAGTAGGGAATAAGGCTAACCACACACTATATAGCTTGGCCCAAAATGACCCATCTCAAAAATATACTAATAACATGTTTTGAAGTGTGAATTTAGAAAAATAGCATATTCGACCACAAAATTGAAAAAAAAAAAAAAGTAAATACAAGTCAATAGTTAATTTGAATATAATTTTTTTTTTCTTTTTTAAAGGCAAGGCAATACAAGACTAAAACAATGAGAAAGCTAGCTAAATTGTCGAAAATATCATGCAAATATCCCAAGTTACAATCTCAAGAGGTCATTCCCCCAACCAAGTGCTGGGATCTTTCGTAAGAGCATGATGTTAAGGACAAGTACAACAGTACCCCAAGTATCTCTACAATAGTACGATATTATCCGTTTTTTGTATAACCCAGTCATTAGTTCTACCAAAAAAGTCTCATATCAATAGAGATAATTGTCTTATCTTATATATCCATGATCATCCTCTGTGAGACTTTATTTATAATCATTTTATAAACCCAGCACATGACAACCTCACGAAATGAGAAGATAGGAGGGCCTTGGTTTCCCTTATTAGAAACTTTGATTTCAGACTCATCTTTCAAAGGGGTCGACTCTGAACTAAGTTAAAAACTGTGAGTGAAACAACTTAATTTCTTCTTCCCTCAATTTCTCACAGCTCTAATCCTTAATATTCCACCCCAAATTTATTTTCCGCTTTTAAAAACTTATCATATTCCATTGTTTTTTTTAATTAATTATTCACACGTCACCTAAATTAAACATCAACTCATGAACTACGCCATTTGTCATGTAAAAAATGGATTAACAGATCTCTTAATTATAAAGATGTTTCAATGTTTTGACAAGAGTGGAAGGACTACAATGTAATTTTCAAAAGTATTAGGTTCAATCAAATTAAAACCTCATGACATATAATACAAGTAGTAATTTAATCAAATTTTATATTAACAGCTGTAAATATTTTAATTCTATATATAGATGTATTAAAAATTGGTAAAGTACGGATTTGACCAGTCAAAGCATGGGGTTTTATTCCTTGTTTATTTTCTTTGAGGGACATTTATGTGTAACTGTGTACGTGTATTATTATTATTATTATTATTACTACTTTTTTCTTCTAATATAAATTCATTAGAAGTCAAAGATAGAAAGTTTAATATCTTAATTAATTTATTTATTAGAATATTGTTTTAATCAACAATATAAGAGAGAGAGAGAGAAAGAAAGAGAGTTGAGCTCAACGTCTTTTGTCCAAAAAAAATAGACAGGAAAATGTCTTTTTTAATTATGATAATTAAGAGGTAAGAGGTTATTTAGTTCTTGTGTAACCTAAAATTGAGCCGATGTTTAGCATGTAATTTATTTAATCCAAAACTATAAGGTTGTTAATTTTTCAGAAATTGACGTCTATAATATAGAATGATTAAATTGTATATTGTCCCATTAGATAACTATTTTATTTTGTTTTCTATTTTTAAAAATTAAATTTAGAACATTACTCATTACTATTACTTTTATCACTTTTATCTCTTTGTTCCTTGATTTTGTTATATAATTTTTATAAACATTTTTAAATGTAGTTTTTAGAAAATAGTTTTTATTTTTAAATTTCGCAAAACAATTTAAATATATTTTCAAATTGAGAACATAAATTTTAAAAATTACAAACCTAGTGATGAGACTACACAATTTCAAGGCAATGACAATTTTGATTAAGTTAAAAGCAAAATAATAAGCATCACAATCTGATATAAAATTGAATATTGTAATTAATATTATATATGAGAAAATTGCACAAAGCCATAACTTGGAATTGGGAGCCACGTGATGCCATTAAGACAAAACCCCCCGACCAATTGATTAATTAAGTAAGCTCTAATTTCAATGCTAGAGACTAGAGAGAGAGAGAGATTGTTAATTAAAAAAAAAAGGTGGGATTGTGAAAGGGGTTTTCAGTCAAATTGTCAAAAATTGAAGGAAAAAAGTACCAATTTAGATGAAAGAGGAGTTTTTGTCTTTGTTAACACAAAGGAGATCTATGAGGGATGCCTTTTCTTCTACTTATGCTTATGCTGGTTGCCATGTCTTCACTAGAGAGAATCTTTCTAACTGATCTTCCGCACAGACAGAGTCCGCTTCTCTTCTTCCGAACGATCGATGTTTGAGCTATGCTCATGTTTTCAGATCCCGAAGATGAGCTCATTGGCTCGTCGTAGTCGACAACTGTCGAACGAGGAGTCTCATTCGTCATCTCATCGTCTCCCATGTCTTGTGGGACTAAGAAATCCATACTAAGTGGGAGAGAATGACAAGGTTTAAGATACGAAGCTAAATCTCTCTTGTGCTGCACCAGATATTCCACCTTGATGATCAATCACGAATTTAAAATTCATCCAAGTTAATAATAATTCTATTATTCTCACAATCATATTTCTAATTTTGTAAAACTAAGATGAAAATTCAACTCAATTTAAGTAAGACCTTAAATTTAACTCAACTTATATCAAACCCAATTAAAGTTTTAGACATAAGTCAGAGAAAAACTAATATAATTATATTGTACCTTGCATCCAAGGGAGCAATGAACATAAGGTTCTTGAAGACTTCTATCACAAGAAGTGCAATAATTTCCAGAGCCTTTAAATTGTCTATTTTGAGGTCTCTTCTTGATGAACACCACTTTGGCACTATTTATGGTATATGGCTAACAAAACAAATTAAACAAAATGATCTTCAAATTAGCTAACCTCAATTGCAACAGAGGAGTGGAGAGGGGATAGAGAGAGAGAATTTGAACTTTTTTTTTTTCTTCTTAATATATACTAACCTGAACGTTAGAGCAATCTATGAGTTTTTGAAGATCTTCGAGCCGAACGACGTCGTGATAAACATATCGACGAACTTGAAGAAGGCGATGGAATCGGTGGGATGACAAGCAATGAGGGCAAATACTGATGCAGCAATCCAAACAACAAATGTTCTTCTCATTCTTTTTTGCAGTTTCATGATATGAACATCCCACAAAGAACTTCTGGCTGTAAAGTGCTTCTAACCATGCAGGCTTTTGAATTCCCTAAAACCCAAAATTAACCTCATCGTCAACTGAACCACCAAAAAGAGAACAAGAAAACATAGAAATGAGAGAGGGAGAGAGAGAGAGAGAGAGACCATGATGACATAAAACACTTGAAATCTTGAAAGAGGCTTAGAAATGAAGATTTGGGTTTTGATGGGAAGTTTATAGAGAGAGAGAGAGAGGGAATTGAATAGGGCATAAACATGAAGAGATAAATGAGTATTTATGGAGTTTCACAAAGGAGCAAAGGACATAAAAATAAGTAAATTTATTCCTTGGGGAACTACACAACATTTTGTCAATTGGGAGATTGATATATATTTTTCAAGTAAGATATATATAAGAGAGGGGGTTGAACGTGGGTGCTGTTTTTATGTCTCCCATTCTTAATTTAAACAATTTTTGCCACTCATCTTCTTGGCTTAAGTGCTCCAATATTGCTAAACTAACTAATCTCTCCTTGAACTACTAGCCTGCCTTTTCTCTCTCTCTCTCTCTCTTTTGTGATGCCCATCTCTTGCTAATTTCTATAGAAGATGCAATATAAATGATATATATATATTTTTTTTGATATTTCTCTCTAAATCTAGATAGTTTTTAGGGTTTTGTTAATATCGGTAGCCGAGTTAATTTTATGTAATTGGTTCAATGAATGTGTTGAGAATGCGACCAAAGTCTTATATATCGGCTAGACAAGTGGAAGATCTCGTGAGTATATAAGTGAGAGATAAAATTTTTGGGTGATACCAAAACAATGATGACCTTACGTCCGAAATAGATAATGGCATTTCAGTGTAAAGATATGTGAATGGTTTGTTGTCCCTAAGCTAAGTTGAATTAGTTTTTTTTTTCTTTTTGAAATAGATAACATTTCATTGAAAATGGTATGTGAGGAATTAAATTACTTTGTTAGTGATTTTCTTATGTAGTATTAAAAATATTGTTAAATTATAGAATGAAAAATCACAGCATGCCACGTGGAATGAGAGCGGAGGTTGGCCACCAAACTCAAGGTACCGTGACATGCGTAGCTCGACTCCTTTGACTTGGAGCCTCAAGTGAAGGAAAGGAAATCCTTAGTACGTACGTTTGGAAGTGGTTCAAGCGGAATCAATGGTTACCGAGATTATCTTTGTGATCCTATTTGTAATTCTCGCAATGGAAGAATTCCACCTAACCCCTATAAATACAACACCACTCCACTCAATCATGTATGAAATCCTATCTGAAACCGACCTAGAGATTAGAACTTTGGATTAAGAGAGTGCTCTTTCTTTACTTGCAGGTCTCCATGTTCAACTCGTCCAATCAAACTCCTTTTAGATCTCACCCGGCAGATTTGGGCAGAAACACGGTTGATAATTATTGCTAGGGCAAATCTTAAAAAATATCATGCAAAATTAGAATATGTCAAAAAAAAAAAAAAAACAACATTGCCTTATTGGTATTTTTTTTCCCCCCACCTTGGCATTGTTTTTGGTGATCTAAATGATATACTTTTTTCGAGAAAAGATTAGATATTGTTTCCAAAAAAGTTTGGATTTTTTAGAACAACATATTAGAAAAAGATATTTGGATTACTATTTTTCAATTTTTTTACTATTTTGTAAGAACATTAAGCTATGAATTGATATATCCATAAATAATTCCTAAAAATAGACAACTTTATAAATTATGCTTTGTTGTGATATATAATTACTATTCTCTAAAGATATATATGATCTCAATTTCTATCTCCATATTTATATGATTATGTTTTCTATAAAATATTCATTTTTAAGATGCCAACATAAGGCTAGCTCAACTTAATTAAGATACTTATTGTATTATAAAAAAATCATATATATTACCATTTATTGAAAGGCTAAAATCCATTCATCAAAACTGATGTAATGTGTCAAACAACTAATGGTAAGATTTCATATAGCCTCCCAATTAAACCTCACAGCATCAATATTTACAGCAAAAGGACAAAAATACCACTAACAAAAGGTAAAACTGGAACAAAATGCCTGAAATAAAAATGTATCATAATTTGAATTCTGGTAGGGTTCATAACATGCAAGGTTTCACTCTGCTATGCCAAAATACAATTGGGAATTCTTTAAGATTGAAAAATATCATTTCACTTCCCCAACTTGACTGTTGATTGAATTGGAGCCATAGGTTTCCAATTTTTTTAGCTGTATTTTCATTCTACCATACAGATACTTTGAAACTTATATGGGTTTAATTTATAAAGTAATTATTAAAGAGTAATTAGAGGCAGAATAAAAGGGAGAAAGAAACGACAATTAAATTAAAGGACCCTATAGTAATGCACACTGTTCAACAATAATATAGACGAAGTTAAAAATAGGGAGAAAAAAAAATGAGGAGAGAGAGAGAGGGAAACTTTGAAATGTTTTTGACTAGAAATGTTGTGCAAAGGAAATTATAAAAAATATGGGAGATTTGTCTTCATTTAGTGTTGTCAATATCATCATGGGTTCATTTAGTATGAATTAAAAATATTATGGAAAGGTCTAATGAATCAGTAGCCATAAAACCCTAATATAAGGTAATAATTATTAAACCTAAATGATTGAAAGTTTTGACATCAATTTGTACTTTTGGCTTTCATCTTTAGTTACGACGCGATTCAAGGTTTCAAACATACTTGTGTGTTATCTTCGTAATCACATTTGTTGAAGGTTTAAAATAACACAAAATTTGTAAATAATAATGACATAAAAATTTGAAATTAATCATCGAGTTGATACTGAATAAAAGCTATGTTCATGTACAATGTGCTTGAAAAAACAAAATTTTACCCAATATATAACTTTCTTTGAACAAAGCTATGTTTCTTAGTTTTACCCAAAATTTTACCCATAAAATAAACAAAATTTTAAATAGAAAGGCACTGCACTACCCACAATTCACACGTACATAATAATTATATATTGTTCTCGAAAGAATAATCTGGAATCCTAATTTTATTGTCAACTTATTACCTAAAACTAGATTAAAAGGTGGTGAGTTTAAATTTTATCTCATAAATTGTACTTTTCTAATTTATTGAATTGATTTAGATACAATTATTCATTCATATTCGTCACAACTAAAATTCATCCTACCATAGGGCTACGTACAAATACTTTCTAGAAATCCTGCCCAAAATCTTTTGAAATGGTGTAGCTCATAATTAAACTTACTTTTAGTACATAAAATTACTATTTCCAAATTATTTATCCTAATCCATCTCTCAAGACAATTTTTATCTATCAAATTTAAATATAAGCCAAAAAGCAATTCGCATGTTTCAAATTTATGAGCCAAATAGTAAATATGATATTATATTTTTCTCCCAAAATTTCTTAGGCACATCCATATTTTTCGAGATTAAACAAAACAACCAAACTATATATTATAATCGAGCTAGCTTTGAAAATTTCATTCACTTATGCAATCTAAATATGTAAACTATATAAATTGATCATATTTATAGAAATTCATATTTTTTAAATTCCTTAAGAAAACCAAACAACAAACTTCATACGTATTAAAAATCGCGAAACTTTTGAAATTCATATTTCACTACGTAATTCAAATACATGTTACATATATACCTAAATTTTTAGGGACTCCCATGTCAATCTAGCCAATTTTTCTTCCCAAATTTTATTAGCATCCAAACGTAGAAATTCATATTTCATAAATTCTTAAGAAATCCAAAACAACAAATTACATAAACCAAAAAACTTTTAAAATTCATTCCTTAGCACAAACCAACTAATATGTTCAAATTTATTCCATACAAACCCAAATTCGTCAAATTGTTGGTCAAATACTAATTTTTTTTTTCTTTTGAGTTCAACAAGGAGGCGTCAATAGGAGATTTAAATATCCGACTTTAACTAATAGAGATCAGTAATATGATATTAACCTGTCAAACTATGTTCGATGCAACGGAATTCTTTTTTAGTGACCCTCGTGAAGAAAAAGGGGGAAAAAGTGGTGTTTGATTGACATGAATACCAAATACCAACGAAAAAACATGATTTGCAAGTTCTTGTACTAGCTTTTTAGATTCAAATCCCTTGTATTCTGTCTGTTCTTTTTGCAAATAATAGAGAAGAAGTGGGAAGTGGAACAAGACATATTGCATTGTACTATAAAATCCGGTTTTAAAGGAATCAAACATGGAAACCAAACACAAATCAAAAAACCCAACCACTCCACTAATGAAAGAACCTGTTCAAATTTTATGGTTTTATGCTCTCTAATAATAATAATGTTTTTTTTTTTTTTTGGGTTTTGTAAATCATATTTGCGTCAAATTATTAACTAATGTTTGACAGAGAGACAAGCACAACTCACAAAGCACTAGTTTTAGGGCAAAATGGATAGCTGACCTAAACTATTGTTTTTGGCTTCAATTTGTAAGGAACAACATAGAAAACGCCCCATTAAAAAAAAGTGCTCAAATTTTGTATTTTTTTTTTTTTATGGCTCTATGCTCTAACCAAGGGCTAATCTTGGGGTTTGCAATATTAATTTGAAGGAGGTTTAATTCTTATGACAAATATAACTAATTTTAAATTTTGATTTGAGTAAAAAATTGCTTCTTTCAAGGATGTGGATCAACCCCTCTTCAATTTTCTCTAGAAAGTTCAATTTGAATGGTTTTTTTTTTCACCGATATCATATCATTATCATATGGGAAAAACTCAAAAAAGATGTTAAGGTTGTCATATTTAATTATATGTTATGTTTAGTAATTCAATTTTGTTTAACATGATCACAGCTTCTTAATCAAAAATAGAAAAATAATTAAAATCCATGCATATGGAAAATCAATATCAAATTATATTGATAAATGAGGGAATGATATTTTTAGGTAATATAAGAGCAAAAGTTTGGAGAGTTGAATTTTGTAGAATTAGGGTTTTAAAAAAATAAAAGGATAGATTTGATGGAGCGAAAATTTCCATGTGGGCACATCATTTGTCATGAAATTAGGATTTTAAACTGAATTTATTCTTTTTTCTTTTCATCGTCAGAAGCACATCATTTAACGTAAACCTCAAGTCATATTAATATTCATGTGATTTAATCGCCCAAAATCAATTAGTAATGAGTGGAGGAGTAATTAGTGTCTATTATAAATCTTTTTAAATTTTCTTTTTTTTTTCA